CTATCTGACTAGTACCTGGCTCATGAGAGAGACCAAGTTTTTCTTCTTCCTCTTCTCAGTCCACCATCTCCTTCTCACCCTCTCGCTATCTGACTTCACTGCATCAGCAGACTACGTGAGAGAGAGAGAGAGAGAGAACTTGGTGACATCGGATCCAGACTCGACATGGGACTTCAGACATTTTGAAGAGGGATTATTTGGGATGTGTAACGAGACTCGGTGTTGACGACTTTCCCATCTCCCCCCTTCCTCTTCTTCGTCTGATCCCTTCCTCTTTGTCTGTGTATGTTTGGACCTGGCGCCTCTTTCCTGTGTATAGCGCCAGGCCCCTTCACACTTTGTGATGAGCATGATGTATGTTTGGTCAGCGTTGAAACATTGATTGGGCTAGTCCTTAGTATTCTAGCATTCTTCTTTGCTATCTTGTTCTACGTGAAAGAGGTCAGTCCCGGTCAGGTCGGTACTTGTATCTAAAGTCGTCCCTGCGCTATAAAGCACCATTTTGTATGTATCGGAATGCACATTGCTTGTTGAGATTCCACTTGCACTGCATTGTCCATTTAGTTCTTTTTATCACATTGCGGACGCTCGGTTTATATGTACATCGCCCAACTGGGCATGTAACAGTTGGTATCAGAGCACCGCACGTGAATCAGGACAACCTGATCTAACACGTGTGCGGGGACTAGGTAGCTGATTAGTCTTGATTGATTGATTAGAGCACACTAGTTGGCCCCCAAAATCACGATTTTGACCTCACTGCCGAAAATCAAAATTTTTTTCTTTTCTTGGATTTCGTTTTCTCGCTATTTCTGTTGTGGAAAATCGCAATAGCACAACATCTGAAATTTCCATTTCGTTTTTTACTGAAAATCCGAAATTTCGTTGTTTGAAATCCGGAATATCTTCTTCTTGATAATTTCGATTTCCTGTTGCATTTCCCGTTATTTGGAAACTCGGAATATTTTTTCCGAAATACGTTTTTCTGGAAACGGTACGGGAAATCCCTCTTGCAGTACCATTCTCCAAACTGTGAATACTCTCATCTGAGTAAATCCGAATACTTGTCATTTCTTTTCGGATTTTTTTTCTTTTCGCAGTTCAATGATTTTCACTATCTCATAGTCATTGGCAGACTGAAGTTCGAAATTTTTTCTCATTGATACTTTCGCACTTCGAGGGAGGTTGGGAGACCTACTGAACTTGCAAAACTCGGGATTTTTTAATTTTTTTTCAATTTTTTTTTCTTTTTTGCAGAGTTCAAACTTTTTTTTTTTGATTAGTGACTCCTTATCTGGACGTGTTATCTGGGCCATTATCCCACCCACCCCTCCCCACCTATGTTGTTGCCACCTCTGATCTTACCTTCTTTATCTCCGGGTACCCCCTGCAACGACATTGGTGAGTTGCCACATCAGCAGGCCACGTCAGCAGACCACGTCAACAAGACACGTCAGCAGGCCACGTCAGCCTACAGCAGTGCCACGTCAGCCGACAGCAGTACCACGTCAGCAGGCCCCCGGCCTGGTCTATGCTTTTGCATTCACAAACAGCCGTCATAGACCATAAGTCCAGGGAAACAGACGAGGCCTACCAGGCCCGGATGCTGGCCTGGAGTACCCAAACCAAGAAACGGGCGGATGACGTAGCAACCGCAGCGAAGAAGAAGGCAGAGAACGCCGAGAAGGCACGTCTGCTGGCAATTGAACAGCAGCACCAGCACGACGAGGCAGCAGCAAAGGCTGCCGCTGAAGAACGGGTTCAACGTCGTGAGAAGATATTTGGCGGAGAGCAAGTGTTGCTCACAATGGCAGTGGATTGGCGGGCCGAGGCCGAGAATGGCAAGATGGAAGATAGTGAAAACAAGATCGCTCTACTTCTCTCCCATCTCACGGACCTCCTGGCAAAATGCATTACATAGCAGGAGGACATCCACAGCCTCGACGACGCGCTGACTCAATTCCACAGCCGCCTCCGGCAGCTGGAGCAGCGACCTGTCGCCGCCCCCGATGCCATCTTTTCCAACACCTCCGATCGCCTCGAAGCATTGGAGACTGACGTCGGCTCCCTCAAGGACGGCGTGCAGTTACAGCAAACCGCAACGCAACAGTTGGAACAACGGATCTGCACTGCCGCCAACCACTCGAGTTCGGAATCGCGTGAGACAGCTCCAAAGTTCGACGGGCAGGAGATCTTCTGCGACTCGGCGAAGACAGATCCGATTCCATGGTTCCGCAAGTTCGAGCTCACGCTGCAGCTACACTACGTCAAAGAACACAAGCACCACGTGTACTTATACTCCCGCTCGAGGGGGGCGTGCCAAGCATGGTTGGACAATCTCTTATCCAAGTACGGAGTGGTAGCTGCCGACTTGCATACCAAGATCAGTTGGGATGATCTGAAGGCGGCGTGGCATAAACGGTTCCAAGTAGAGCCACCGGAGATCAAGGCAATGGACAAGCTAATGGTCTTCGAACAAGGCACGCTGCCGAGTGTCGACTGGATTGCCGAGTACCAACGCTTGACATCCGTCCCAGACATCCAAATGGGCTTCAAAGCCATCCGCCACTATTTTATCTCAAGGTCGTGTTTGACATTGAGCAATGCCTTGACTCACGTCGAGGACACCTTGACAACAACGGCGGAACTCTTTGACAAGGCCGCGCAGATTATTATCACTAACAAGGAGGCTAAGAACCTGCGTTTGTCTGCGGCAGGCCCGAGCAGAGATCAGCATCGACCGAAAGTGGCCGTGGTCGTGGCGGCAACGCTGTTTGACCAAACTAGCGAGGCCATGTCTGCCAATGAAGGGGACAGACTCGCAGCCGCCCGGGAAGGTGGCCGCTCCAGCAAAGGCCGAGGACGCGGCAAGACGAAGACAAACACCGCATCTAGCCCCGGGCCCGGTGCAGTAGCTCCAGCCCCATGGTCCCAATACGGTCTCTCCAAGCACGCATTCAAAGCACGAACGAGATTTCACTATTGCCTATGGTGCAACAACGATCTCCATGAGACAGTGACCTGTCCGTCGAAAGGCAAGGGCAAATCGGGAAACTGAGTACCGCCGGGAGTGACTCGACGACACTCTCGACGTCTTCGGAACCGGTCACTTCGCGGGTGACCGCCCTTCGTTCCAAGGCACATGCGGAAGTCGATAGTCCTCCTCTTCTTTATTCTTTTGAGGACTATGCTGCCCGGCTCGTTCCTACGCTGGGTACCCAAGCTCAAGGACAAGACGTGTGTGCAGCATCTTCTCCGTTCGGCGGCGGCGACTTATCGTCTTCAAGCGGTTCTTCACGGGATTCGGCGCACGAGTTCAACATAGAGGTATTGGACCCGCCCACGTCCGGGATTTCGAATGGCTTCCTTTCTCGACCATGGGCCGCTTGTCGAGACCGCAATGCGCAGCACTATGCGCTAATTTCCACACGTACTTATCCTTCTATGCACCACCAACTTCGCCGACGGATGACGAAGTCGCGGTGGGGGACATCCTTGCGTATGTTACCAAGGTGGCCCGCGAGTTTCGCAATCAGCGGTACGATGACAACAACACACCGCTCCTTTATGTCCGCATCCAAGTTGGACAAGTGTCCTGCAACGCTTTGCTGGATAGCGGCGCGTCTCGCAAGTTTATGAGCCAAGCCTTTACGCAAAGGGCTGGCCTTGGTGCACAAGTTCAAAGGAAGGCAAACCCGACGGCGATAAACTTGGCGGACGGAAGGACGCAGCAACTTATCGACCGCTACATCGAGGCCTTACCGGTGTATTTCGCACCTCATATATGCGAACCGGTGACGTTCGACATTTTGGATACGGACTTCGACATTATTTTGGGAATGCCTTGGCTTGCAAGTGCGGATCACACGGTCAATTTCCACCGGCGGACTCTTACCGTTCGCGACGCCTTCGGCGCCGAAGTGGCGTGTACTATTCCTCTTCCGCACCCTTCGATTCGGTGTCAAGTGGTGACGGCCAAGTCATTCCGGGCCACTTGTGCTTACGAGCAGCCCGACGAAATCGACCTATGTTTCCTACGGACCGTCGCGGTAGCCGACTCTTCACCCACGGACTTGTCTTCGGACCCTCGTGTGGTGCGGTTGCTTGACAAGTTCGCCGACATCTTCGAGTCACCTACCGGTGTGGTGCCGGATCGGCCGATCTCTCACGAGATCATTCTTGAGGCCGGTGTCGTGCCGCCAAAAGGTTGCATTTATCGCATGAGCGAGGAGGAGCTTACGGTCCTCCGCGCATAACTCGGATTTGTTGGACATGGGTTGGATCCGCCCTAGTAGCTCTCCATACGGAGCGCCAATTCTCTTCGTACGGAAGAAGAACAAAGATCTACGATTGTGTATCGACTACAGCAAGCTCAACGCGCAAACCGTCAAGAATGTGGGGCCTCTTCCTCACATCGACGATCTTCTTGAGCGATTGGGCAGCGCAAAGTATTTTTCTAAGTTGGATTTGAAGTCGGGATATCATCAAATCTCTATCCGGCCGAACGATCGCTACAAATCCGCGTTCAGGATGCGGTACGGGCATTTTGAGTGGGTGGTTATGCCTTTTAGCCTCACCAACGCCCCGACGACCTTTCAAGCGGCTATGACCAACGAGTTTCGTGCAATGTTGGACCGGTTCGTGCTGGTCTACTTAGACGATATTCTCGTCTATAGCCGGACATTGGAGGATCATCTTGGGCATCTTCGACGAGTGTTGGAGACGCTCCGCAGCGCCAAGAACAAGGTCAACCGCGACAAGTGCGAATTTGTCCGGCAAGAGCTGGAATACTTGAGCCATTTTGTCACACCGGAGGGCATCAGTCCGCTATCAGACAAAATTCAAGCCATCCAAGAGTGGCCGGAGCCACGGAACGTCACGGATGTCCGTTCGTTCCTTGGTCTCGCCGGCTACTACCAGCGTTTCATCAAGGGCTACTCGAAGATCGCTGCCCCCTTGACCAAGCTTCAATGCGAGGATCGACCGTTTGACTTCGGGGAGGATGGGTGGGAATCATTTTTGGCTCTCAAAGCCGCGCTATTATCTGCGGAGGTCTTGCGCATATACGACCCGCTTTTGCCTACGCGCGTCACTACGGATGCATCCGGCTATGGCATTGGCGCCGTCCTCGAGTAACATGATAACGTGGACTAGCACCCGGTCAAGTATTTCAGCAAGAAAGTGCCCGTCGTGCATTCCATTGACGATGCACACAAGGAGGAGCTCCTCACCTTCTTCCACGTGCTCAAGCGGTGGCGGCACTTCCTCCTTGGTCGAAGCCAATTCCGATGGGTAACGGACAACAATCCGTTGGTCTTTTACAAGACCCAAGACACCGTCAACAGCACCATCGCTCAATGGATGGCTTTCATCGACTAGTTCGACTTCTTTCCCGATCACATTCTCGGGAAGTTGAACCGTTTTGTGGATGCTCTTTAAGGGCGTCCGGATCATTGTACCGCGGTCTACTCAACCTTCGAGATCGACAACGACCTGCAGGACAGTTTCATCCACGGCTACCAAGCCGACCCCGAGTTTCGCGACAAGTACGCGAATTGCTCCTCTCCTAATCCGGCGCCTTCTCACTACCGGATCCAAGAGGGGTACTTGCTTGTCCACACGCAGGGGAAGGACCTGCTTTGCGTACCGAGTGATCCTCACTTGCGTACACGACTTCTTGGCGAGTTCCACGATGCTCCCGACACCGGACACTTTGGAGTCAATCGCACGATTGGCCGACTTCGCGAGCGATTTTGGTGGCCCGACCTTCTCGGCGACGTCACACGCTATTGCGAGTCATGCGAGGTTTGAAGACGCTGCAAATCCCGCAACCATCGTCCGTACGGCGAGTTACGACCATTACTGGTCCCGTTGAGGCGAATGGAAGCGATTGCCATGGACATTACCGGCCCGTTCCCCAAGCACAAGACCGGAGTGGATGGGATTCTCACCGTGGTCGACCGACTCACCAAGTTCGCCATGTTTTTGCCTTGCCGCTATCATGCCAAGGCACCGGAGTTGGCCAAAGTTCTTCACGCCGGTTGGATTTGAACCAAGGGTTACCCCAAGGAAATCGTCTGCGACCGCGACACTCGGTTCATGTCCGACTTTTGGTTGGCGCTCATCTCTCAAGCCAAGTTCGGCTCGCCACCCCCAAACCGATGGCCAAACAGAGAGGGTGCATCAGACGGCACAGGTTCTCCTTCGCACTCTCATCCGTTCCGATCAAAAGGATTGGGTCGAGCGGCTGCCGGATGTCGAGTTGGCCTACAACTCGTCTATCCACCCGGCTAACGGGATGTCGCCCTTCGAGTTCGAGCACGGCTCGCCGGTCACTTCGCCGTTGGACACCATCATTCCACGAACGGCCGAGAGCGACGACCATCGTTTTTTCTTGTGTCAGATGCAAGAGCTACTTGTTAAGGCACACGACCAGATGGCGAAGGCGCAGCAACGCATGAGCCAACAGACCAATCGCCAGCGTCTTCCTTGCCCATTCCGCGCCGACGATCTCGTTTGGGTCTCCGCCGCGGAATTCAGCCTTGAACAAGATATCTCTCGCAAGCTCCTCCCGAAATGGATGGGGCCTTGGCCGATCCTGGCACCCGCTGGGGATGCACCCGAGGGACCTTCCTTCACCATTCAGGTGCCCGCCCACTTGCCCCTCTACCCGGTCTTTCATTGCTCCCAGTTGGCTCTTTACACGCCAGCGGAACATGACGATTTTCCCGGGCGACGATTGCAAGACCCACCCTCTATAGACGGTTTTTAAGAGGTCGACGACATTATCTCCCAGCGACGCTACGACGACAGGCCAACCGAGTACTTAGTACACATACGTATATGACCTTTCCCGGAGAAGGATTGAGGCTCGGCTTCCGAACCATACGTGAGACTTTCGCCTCATATGGCTCTTCTCAGAATCTATATTGATATTTGCTCTTTCTTATGGTATGGATTTAATTCAAATGTTTCTGTACATTTTGCATACTGCACACACCGAGATGACCGTTGGTTGACCTGTGCAGAACTTCAAGCAACAACTCCAGACGTTCTCGCATGCTACGAACGCAAGATGCAATGCAAGCCGGTCTCTTCGGCTCCACGCCAAAGCCGCGTCCAGGTTCCACCTTCAGATCGTCAGCTTCGCCCTAGCCCCGGCTTGACTTCATAAGGAGGTGGGGGTGTTACATGCTGCACCTGCACACGAGGGCCATTTTCCAGGCCCTACATCCCTCAGGCTGAAAGCCTGAAAACCAGGGCCTACAGGCCCCGTGTCTGTTCAGCCCGAAAGCCTGAAAAACAGGGGCCTACAGACCCTGTGTCGTTTCAGACTAAAAATGGCAGTAGCCTTTTTAGCCTGAAATGAAGGGCCATTTTCGGTCTGTCATCAGACTGACCTGCCCTGAAACTCAGGCACCAAACCAGGGTTTTAGGAACAGGCTATTTTTGGCCTGTTCCCACGACAGCTGCAGCGCCAGGCTCTGGCTAAGTTCGGCATTGGCAAGAGCAGCCTCTTGGACTGCCCGCCCTACAACTGCAGGCAGTCGGAGGCACTCAGGAGGCAGGCCGAGGTAGTACATAGGGACTTCCTATGCATTTCACGGGGAGGCAGGAGGCAGTCAGTAGTCTTCAAGACTCGGCAGCAACACTCTGGAGGAGCGTTGCAGGAGTTGTGGTAGCGTTAGCAGTAGTCTTAAGCGCTGGGCGCTAGTAGCATTAGGTGTAGTCTTCAGCGCAGGGCGCCATAGCTAGAGTAGTACTAGAGAGAGAGAGAGATTGGGCGGAGGCCAGGGGTACTTACCTGCAGCGCCGTTGCTCCAGCTTTGAGGTAACTGCAACACAGCGACAACTTCACAGGTTAGTACCTGGCTCATGAGAGAGAGAGAGTTCTTCTTCTTTCTCTTCTCAGTCCACCATCTCCTTCTCACCCTCTCGCTATCTGACTTCACTGCATCAGCAGACTACGAGAAAGAGAGAGAGAGAGCTTGGTGACATTGGATCCAGACTCGACATGGGACTTCAGACATTTTGAAGAGGGATTATTTGGGACGTGTAACGAGACTCAGTGTTGACGACTTTCCCATCTTCCCCCTTCCTCTTCTTCGTCTGATCCCTTCCTCTTCGCCTGTGTATGTCTGGACCTGGGGCCTCTTTCCTGTGTATAGCGCCAGACCCCTTCACACTTTGTGATAAGCATGATGTATGTTTGGTCTGCGTTGAAACATTGATTGGGCTAGTCCTTAGTATTCTAGCATTCTGCTTTGCTATCTTGTTCTACGTGAAAGAGGTCAGTCCCGGTCAGGTCAGTACCTGTATCTAAAGTCTTCCCTGCGCTATAAAGCACCATTTTGTATGTATCGGAATGCACATTGCTTGTTGAGATTCCACTTGCACTGCATTGTCCATTCAATCCTTTTTATCACATTGCAGATCCTTGGTTTATATGTACATCGCCCAACTGGGCATGTAACAGAGAGAGAGAGAGAGAGAGAGAGAGAGAGAGAGAGAGAGAGAGAAACAGAGAGAGAGAGAGAGAGCAGCGAATATTAGCGTGGTTCGCGATGCAAGGCAGTTTGTTTCGAACGAGCAACGGGGCCTGTACGATGGGCGACGAAGGTGTGTGTGTGTGTGTGTGTGTGTGTGTGTGTGTGTGTGTCTTTGTGTGTGTGTGTGAGAGAGAGAGAGAGAGAAAGAGAGAGAGCAATGCATATCCGTGTGCAAACGGCGCAGAACGAGTGGCGGGGGTGACGGAGAGAGAGGAGTCGTGGGCACAAGGGAAAAACATGAGGATCGACTTTTGTGACGTCTCCCCTTCATGACCATCGCCACTGGCCCGGTCCCACAGGCTGAACAGGCAAATAGCCAAATAGGCCCTGGCTGTAGGCCAGGGCAGATAGAGGCCTGTTGCACGATCCTTAGACCTGTAGTGGATCGCAAGAGCCATAGACACGCTATCCGCAAAAGCAACGGAACTTTGCAACAAGGAAAGCGGAGAAATCTAGGATGCAGAGCAAGCTCCATGCGGAGTCCGTGCTGCAGCCTAAGCTACATAATGTCATAAAGAAAAGGAAATGTTTGATATCCACATTCAAACTAATAGCAGAAAAATGAAATGTAGCATGGTACAATCCTAAGCTCCTGCAGACAATTGCCTCAGAGCTTAAAGGAAAAGATAGCAATATGTCACAAGGTAATATCGTGTCCCTGTACCACTAAAGAGTGGATGGTCTCAGAGGGGGTGAATGCAGCCTAAAAATCGAAACTCCTAAGGGCAGTCACACATGAAGGTGGGATAGGTCATTAGGCTCAAGGTGAGGGAATGGTAGCGAAACAAAACCAAGGACCCTAACAGATAGAGCATCAAGGCGGGTAATGCTCGACAAAAGGGTGACACCATGCAAGGTCGACCATGAAAAGGGGAACCTGGAATAAGGTGGAGATATGCCTAACTGAAGACATGCAAGAGCCGACACTAAGGTGATGAGGGCAGTGGGTGAGGGAAACATGCACACAACTCACCAACTGGAGGAGGGAGCTAGATCTGGGAGTAGGGAAGCCAAGATAACGTTACGGTCCCAATGCCTATGCGATACCAAGGGAGAGCCCAACTCAAAGAGACCCATCTAAGTAAGAACCATCATGCGACACATGCAAGGGAATGTACAGGGTAGGGTGGTGGCGTGAAGTAATCACGTCCAAAGTAGCTGAAATTGATAAAGTAGTTGAAGTCGAGAAGGTAACTGAAGTCGTCGAGGTGGTCGATGACGTCGATGAAGTAGGAGTCTAGTCGATGTCGAAGCAAAGCCGCAAAATGCTGACATCCTGAAAAAGTTGGAGGTGTGAGTCAATAGGAAGATAGTAGGTGATCAAAGTGTCGGTCGTCGAGACGCCGAGGGCGTCGAGGAGTGCGATGTGGACGCGCAGAGGCGTCCATCTGCTACTGAAGAACGGCCTCAGAGGGAGCGGGCTCGTCCTCAGCAATGTCCTCAGTCGGAGGAGGAGGAAGAGGGTCAGTCGGCTGAGTAGGAGTAGATGTCTCAGCACGACGAGTACGATCATATGCACGAACCAACATCCGGGCTTGCTCCAAGTGCTCGAGGGGCTCCCAAGTAGCCTCCTCATCAAGATAGCTCTTCCAACGCACAAGGTACTCGATGCGTGGAGGGGTATCGTTGGTAACTCGGCGAGATACGATGTCGAAAACGACGAACTCCTCGTGACCGTCCACCATGATAGGTGGAGGGCGCTCATAAGGGTTTCCTGCGAAGCGCTCGGACGGTCTGCAATAAGGATGCAACAAGGAAACGTGGTAAACATTATGTACGCGAGCTTGTCGAAGGTAATTAGATAGCTTCACACGGAAGCTAACCATAGCAGCAGTATCAGAACCGACGACCTGAAGGATGCGGCATGGATCGAAGAAGCGACGCCTGAACTTGCGAAGCGCATCCACTTCGAGCTGCAAGTGGCGTGCATCGACGAGCATATCGTCACCGACTTTGAACGGATGATCCATTCATGAGCGGTTCGCTCGTGCAGCCATGCGAGTCTGCGAGTCGGCTAGACTCTCGTGCGCGCGCTTCATAATCACCGCCATGTGGGCGATCCAGGCGTCAAGCGCAGGACAAAGAGTGTCTGGGCGCAACCGCAACGGTCGTAGGAAACCCGCGGGTACATGAGGGTGGTAGCCGAGGTCGCAATAGAATGGCGACATCCCCGTGGCTGGCGAAACGGCGTGGTTGTACTCAATCTTCGCGAGGGCCAGGTACAAGTTCCACTGTTGGTCATCCCTAATAAACTTTCAGAGGATATTACCGAGAGTTTTATTGGTGACCTCAGTCTGACCATCCGTCTGAGGGTGGTAAGACGACAAGAAGCGTCGCGAGAATGTGTTGGTAAAGCGCGGGTCACGGTCAGAAATGATGCTCTAAGGTAAGCCGTGATCTCGCACGACTCGGTCGAAGACGATGTCGGCGACCTCACGAGTGTTGATGCGATAGCGGCACGGAACAAAACGTGCACGCTTCGTGAAGCGATCGACGACGACCAAGATAACACCATGACCGCACTCAGTGGGAGGGCGGAGGGGACCAACAAAATCCATCGAGATGGACTGCCAACGACCCTCAGATATGGATAGGGGCTGAAGTAACCCATACGGAAGGTGGTTCGCACTGTTCACCTCCTGGCAGGTAGGACATTCCTGGACGTAGGCTTTGACGAAGTCCAAGGACTTCGGCCACACGTATAGGCGGCAAACACGAGCCAACGTCTTGTGGAAGCCCATATGACTGGCAGCTGCCTGGTCATGGAACTCTGCTACGGCCTGAACGCGGAGCTGTCCGGTGGAGGGAACGCAGATACGTGGTTCTAGCTGACCAGATCTGCCATGCCAGTACACGAGACCGTTCTCATCGAGGAGTATGAAGGAACGGTCTTGCCACTCCGAAGTGTCGAGTGGATGACGTGATAATCCGGACAGTGGCGGTACTGAGTGCGATATGTGTCGATCACTGACTGATCGATAGTGGTAACCGGGATGGAAGCAAGATGGATGGGTTCCTGATTGTGGTCAGGACGGCGGGACAAAGCATCGACGACGTGGTTCGTTTCACCCTTGATAGGCTAAGTGGTGAAACTGAACTCGGATAAATCACGCCACCAGCGTGCCTGTCGAGGGGAAAGCTTGGGCTTCGTGAGGAAAACCTGGACAATAGAGTTGTCCATGCGCACCGTGAAGGGCGCCTCATGCAGGTAATGACGCCAGTGTCGGGTAGCATAAACAACTGCGAGAACCTCACGTTCACCGACAGTGTAGTTTATCTCGGCAGGCAGTAGCTGACGGGAGTAGAAGGTGATCGGACAATCCCTAGCACGAGCCTCGACAGTCCCATCCTCCGCGATGGTCGGAGAGTAAAAAACGAGAGGACTGTCAGTGGAGGGTAGTGGTGGAAGGGTAGGCGTCAGTCGAGAAGTCGTGTCAGCAGGAGGGGGGGGGGAAGGAGGGACATGGGGATAAGGTGAATCAGGAGGAGAGGGAAACACCTGAGAAAGTACAACTCCTACTGTAAAATCTGACGCATTAGTGGTGACGATGAAGGAACGATCAAAATTGGGGAGACAAAGAATCGGCACACAAGTCACCGCCTTCTTGAGGGCGCGAAAAGCATCCTCGCAGAGGGGTGTCCAGAACCATGGCGGGTTCTTCCGGAGGAGGGTGGAGGTAAGGACGTAGGAATACCTAGCGTATCCCTGGATGAAATTACTATAGTGACTAGTGAGGCCTATAAAACTGCGAAGCTGCTTGACGGATGTGGGGACAGGCCACTCCGCAATAGCAGTGACCTTCGCGTCGTCCATGTGGAGACCCTGGTCAGACACATGGTGTCCTAAGAAGTGCACTTTGTGCTGGGCAAAGCGGCACTTACTAAGCTTGGCATAGAAGCCATGCTTGCATAAGCGCTATAGGACATCGCAGAGGTGTCTAAGATGGTCTTCTAAGGTACGACTATAGACCAAGATGCCATCCAGGTATACTAGAACGTATTCTTCAAGGATGTCCCTGAAGATATCGTTCATCACCGTCTGGAAGGTGCCGGGTGCGTTGGTGAGGCCGAATGGCATCACCGTGAACTCGTAGTGGCCGAAGCGCGACCGAAAGGTGGTCTTCGGCTGGTCCTCTGTGGCAACACGGATCTGGTGGTAACCGCTACGAAAATTGATCTTCGTGAAGAAGCGGTTGCCTGCCAGACGATCAAACAACTCATCCACGTGGAGCATGGGATAGTTGTTCTTAACTGTGTAACGGTTAAGACCGAGGTAGTCAATGCACATGCAAAGAGTTTCATCCGCTTTGCGAGCAACGAGGACGGGTGCACGCCAAGGGGAGTTACTGGGTTTAATGAAACCCAAAAACCCAGTCGAAGGAGCTCCTCAAGCTGACGCTTGAGTTCCATCGCCTCTAAAATTGAGAGTCGGTCGGGTGCCTGATGGTGGACACGATAGTCAGGCACGAGTTGGATAGAGTGTTCAACACCGCGCATCGGAGGGATCCTGTTGTATGAGAAATACGGGGAAAAGACGCCACGGTACTCTCGTATCAGATCGCGAACGGAAGGCTCTAAATCGGTCGTGAACTGCGTGAGTTCCTCGACGTCTGCGTCGGTACGAGACGTATGGGTGGACTCAGTAGTGAACGGCGTAGGGACCTGGGATGTCGAGGGGGTATCCGCAGGCTGAGTGGTGGATGTAGAGATGGGAGCCACGAGGATAGAAGAAGGGTCAAGGGGGATCGGGCTCCAATGAGATGAGCTCAACCTCGGGACAGAGTGGATCATAGCGAAGAAGATCCATAACGTTCACTGAGTAGAACATGACGTCCTCCTGTAGTATGAAGTGAGCGAACTGACGCGGAGAAGTGAAGGCGATGTCTGGGTGGGACCCAGAGGAACGAGGGTCTTGGGGAGGTAGGTCGGGAGGGGTGCCGCCGGTGGTTCCAATGAAGGGGACTCGATGGGTCTGACCACACTTCGTTTTGAGAACGAGTATCTCGGTCGCCCATTCGGCCTCTGTGCCACGGAACTGGCGAGACCAGGGAGTGCCAAGGATAAAGTCGTACCCAGTCTCCAACACGTCGAAGTATGCGGAGGAATGGTAGGGTCGAGGCGTCTGGGTACTATCCGGTGGCTGGAGGGTAAGGGAGAAGTGGAAATCAGGGACCTTTTGATCGAAGTAGCGCGGTGTCTTGTTATCTCCGAGGGTAACGGAGATAGGTGAGTGAGACCCGGAGGTAGCCAGACGAGCTTCCTCAACCACACGAGGGTGAATGAAATCTCCCTGCGAGTCGGAGTCCCATAAAGTGCGCTACACCCTAATAGATGTCCCAAGGAGGATGGGAATAATGAGGAGGGTGCGATAAGGGTCAGAGAGGAGAGCGAGAAGACGACGCAAGACATTTACGTGTCTCGTGAGTTGCTCCTGACGAGCCTGAAAAATGCTCAAATCTAGGAGCGAGGACACCTTATCCTCGTGAGTCGCCAACTTAGCACTACAGCGAGTTGTGGCGGTCTGCTGTGGGGCAGACGGTACCTCGACAGAAGGCGGGGCACAAGGAACTTCGTCTGCCGTGTCCCGAGGATCCTCTGGTGTGGTAGCCAAAGGGGCAAACCGCGACTCGGTGGTCGGGAAGTCGGCTACGAGCGAGGCCTCAGCGGTACACTGCACCGTGGCTAGTTGGATGGGGCTGGCTTGGCGGGGCCGGGGGGGACTGAGATCGGCGCTGATGAGAAATGTCAGCATAGTGCCGATCGAGGGCAGCATAGTATGGACACCGTGAGGAGGTTGTCCATCCTGGCGGCAACGAAGGCAACCGCGACGAGCCTCGAGGGCGGTGCGCTCCTCAGGGGATAGAGCTCTGCGAGGAGGGACGAAACCCTACGGGAGGTCTATCAGAGGGACCGCGCACGTGAGGGCGCCAACTTGTGCAACCCGACTATGCGCACGACCCATGGCGGACATCGCCATCTGCAAACGCTCGGCCACCGGGACAGTGTCATTATCCAAGTGGTACTGGATGGCATCCCAAAGCTCGATGTCCTCGGGGGCGTCCCCAAAGGTAGGGTCAAGCTCGGTTGAGGTGTCCTCTGCATACTCGAGAGAACTGTGGCGCTGAGGGAATGGCGCTCCTGACCGAGCTGGTCGATGAAAACGGCCGGCGAAAGAGGATCGACCACGAGTAATGTCGCGTGACTGGGTGGCGGCGGTGGTGGATCGCGGCGAAGACGGGGCAACGGACACATCCTCTGGTACTGACGTGCAGCCTCGTATGCCTGCTCCGCGGAAGAAAATGACCGCCTCCATAGCTCCTTGCGGTAGTCAGTCGGAAGACTAACAGGGAACCGGTCGATGAGGGTGACCTCCGAGAAAAACGTCTCATCGCAAACAAGGCGGGCGTCTTGAAACACCCGGATGTGACGCTCAAGGTCAGATGGTGCAGAGGAGCCAAACCATCGGGTCTGGGTGACGGGGTCTAAGGCATCAGTGTCGTCGTGGCGAGCGCCAAAGCGGTCTTGGAGGAAGGCCGCAAAGTCTGCAAGAGTGGAGACCTCACCCACGCGGAGGCGCTGGGTATAATGGTCCTCTCACGCAGTGGAAGGGCTGCCTCGCAATTTGGTTGCGAGCACATCGCACCACAACTCCTGACGGGTGGTTGTCATCGAGAGTATGCGTGTTGCTATCTGCAACCAGCGACAGACACGGGATGTGCCATCATACTCGGGAATGTCCGAGGTGCGCACAGGAGGATGTCCGTTGTGCTGATGGCGGGGGGAGAGAGACCGCGGCGCCTGCAGTGCGACGGCGAAAGTCGGGGCCGCTGCAAAGGCAAAGGTCGGGAAAGGTTGTGGACCATGGCCATTGGGAGATGGACCAGCCGATGTGGGGCAACAGCCGCGGCCAGCTGTCCCGGAATGGCTAGGTAGGAGGGGAGAGGCTGAGGAGCAGGTAGAGGGAAATGAGCCGGCATCATGGAGGCGGAAGGGGTGGTAGAAGAAGAAGAAGGGTGAGCAACCTGTGAAGGGTAAGGTTGTCTCAGGGCAAGGATCTGCGCTTGAGCCTGCACAATGGAGGCCTGCAAAGCAACCAATCGCTGGGTGCGCGGGGTCGGGGGTGGAGGAAGCGGAGGGGTTATCCCAGTGGGAGGGGTAATCCCAGACTGGGGGGAGCCCTTCTGTGGGAGGGAGGGGACGAAGGCGGGGAGGATTGGGCGGAACCGTAGTGCCGCAACCGATACGGGAAGATGGGAAGCAGCACCGGAATGTGTCAATGAAACTGTCGGGCCACATGATGGCCTCTGGACCGCAGTACCTACGACAGTGGCAGAGACGGCAGGGGCGACAGGGGCCGGGAGGACTGCCACAACAGACGGGGTGGTCTGAGCGGTAGCGGCACTCACCACTGCTGAGGGGGAGTGTTGGGCCTGAGCCACAGGGGAGGAAGAACCACCACGTCCGTGTCGCCGGAGTCGTGGGGAACCGGTCGGTGAGCCGATAGGGGATGGGGTGTGGGAGCGCTGGGTGGAGCGATGAGGAGAATCCTTGAGGCGGTTGACATCAAGGGCGAGCGCGTTGAGTTGCGCTTGCATGGGGGCAAGGAGGGCCGCAAGGACGGTCTCAAGATCCATAGAAGTCTGACTTTGGACCGCTGGCTGCGCGGACGCCTGAAACGTAGACGACGCCGCAACAATCTCATCGGATGTACGCCCTTCCATGACCAGAAGGGGAAGGGAGGTAGGTCTCACGGGAGTGTACGGAGAAAGGGGCCCACCGGTAAGAGGAAGGGGATCGCGAAAGCGAAGTGAGTAGGTGTGGGTCGACTTGCCTCGGATTATGCGGGTTGCTTGTGAAACGAAAGCACCAATCCAAGCAAAGGGGGAGGATCCGTTCGGGTCCAGGGTGCTTCAAGGGGGGGAGCCGAAAAAGGTGAGTGAGAGGTAGGAAAACCCTAAACCCTAGATAAACCCTAAGTAAACCCTAACGAGACTTAGGGGAGATTAGGGTTGAGTAGCGGTAACCTAATCAAGCGAAGAAAAGAAGAAAATGACGAACATAGAGGGGAGGGGGAAAGAAAAATAAATAAATAAATAGTGAAATTTTGAGATAAAAATAATAACAAAAAAAAAAAAAGAAAGAAAGAAAGAAATAAGCAAAGGGTGAGAAGAGAAAGAATATTTATTTTTTTGGAATTTTTGGCAGCATTTTCCTACCCCAATGGGGTCAAAAAGGTGCAAAGAGGAAGGAGAGACTAAGAGAAGCACACTAAGTTTTACAATGCCGCAAATCAAGGTTACCAGACCGTACGTACGAACGCCCCTAGGCGGACCTCCGTACGTTCGGGCGTTCGGGGTCCCGTTCGGGGTTCGAACCTGAAGGGGTTCGGCCCCCGCCAAAAATTATTTAGGCACCTAAAAATAACTTTTTTTTTCTGAATTTTTTTTCGTGCCTATAAATTTGGAAATCATTTTGCTCAGCCAAAAAACAATAAAAAATCTCCAAAGATGGAGGTATCAAAACGTGCTCGCCCATTCACAATTTGTTTTTTTTTCACTTTTTACGTTTTGTCTTCAGACTCTTCACTTTATTTCGAGGCCTAAACAATTTTATTATTTTTTGAAACGTTTTTCATGAGTTTTCTATTATCTGAAGGACACATGTACTAAATTTCAGGCCATTTGGATTTGCCAAAAAAAAAAGAAAAATCGCGAAAGATAGCGGTGTCGAAAATGGGCTTGCGCACTCACTAATTTTAATTCTCTAATTTCTACTTCTATTTTTTCTTATTTAAAGTTATTTTTCTTATTAGTATTTATTTTCCGTATTGTATTTTAATTTCAAATTTGGTAAGGAATTTGGATGTAATGCTCAGGCAAATGTTGTTTATTTTATTTTTCTGCATAACATATATTTTTTTCCAGATTTTCTGAGGTTTTTTTTTTTTTTTTTTTTGGGGGGGGGGGGGGGGGTCCGCGTTCGGCCCGAACGCCCGAACGCATCCCCAAGGGGTCCTGGACGTTCGGGCGCTCGGCTTCGGGCGTTCGGCCCGTCCCGAACGTCAGCAACCCTGCCGCAAATTATAATTTTCAGAAAAATAAATAAATAAATAAGTAGATGAGGAGGTGAAGAGAAACTAAGTGTTGGATTTTTTCAAAAATCTCGGCCGCATTTTGTTACCCCCATGAGGTCAAAGTGTGTCGTCAAGAAGAAAGACTAAGTAAAATGAGAAGATTTTGCCAGCACTTCGC